GAGAAGGGCCGAAGCCGCTGCATCCCTGCCCAAGCGCTGCATTACTGCACCAGGGGCCCAAGATCTGAAACCGGCGGGCCTGGGGCAACGCTGACGAGAAGCTCGGCCTGCGGATTAACAGGGCTCAGGGCCAGGGCTACTGCGATTTGTTCGGGGCTTGGACCTGGGGATTCTGGGAGGCTACCCGTCTTGTAAGGCCCTGTGTGGTGAAATGTCTCGCTCTGGGAAGCATGACTTTGAACTGCATACACCTAAGGTGCCTGTGCACATGCTGCCGGTGACCTGCCTGTCTGGCAAAATGCACGGAGACACACTCCTCCAGGGATGCTCGAGGTTGGCCCATGGCCACTCTGCGGAACAGAAAAGGTCACTGTCTCTGCTGCTCCATCCTCCAAAGCCCACCTCACTCTCCAGAAGTTTTCTACAGGTATTCAATGCAAAGTGCGGGCAAGGAAGATCAGGGAGGCTATGCGGCTATCCATTTGTGGTCGTCAGCTGGTGCACTGTTCTGAATCAATGAAGGTCCTGCACTGCATCCGAGGGGAAATGCCCCTGGCATCTCTCGAACGGATTGCCGGATTTTTGACGACCGTACATGCATGTAGTGCCATGGAATCCGCCTGGGTGTCAGTGCTGTCGGCACAGACATCGGAGCTGCAGACAGCGCTGGCTGCGTCCTGCAATGCGTGCACAAATGCCGAGGATGTTAGATTCGCATTTTGGGCGAGTGGGCGCCGGCGCCGTGGCCCTTGCCTGGGCGTGTAGGCGTGGAGCTCCACTGGCCTTGTCGAGTCCAGGTAAGTATGGCCGCAAGAGAGGTACTTACAGCAGCTCCTTTATGCTGGAAGCGAACTATGACATCACTTGAACTGTCGGTCGCAGACCGGCCTCAAAGGGCTGTGTTGCACCGGCGCAAGCCTTCAACGCAGCTTCTGAGTCGTTGCAGCCGGCTTGAGCGTTCGTTTGGATTGGACGGTGTAGCATCGACGAGCTGTGAAACGTCACAGTCTGCTTCATGCTAACCTCTTGACCCTTCCACTTGGCACGTCTTTTCCTGCTGCACACGAATTGCACCTTGGGGAGCTCGCGACCCCATTGGCCCTGCAGCCGAAGAGTCTGCGACTCGATATCTGCATGTCTACTGTGACTCGTGTCGTAATCTCACTAGGTCGACTGCTCACTCTGCCCGATGCCCACGGCACCTGGGCTCCAGAGCCCAAACCCCAAGGCCTCTGAGGCAGCGAAGTCGAGGGGGTTGCTGTCAGTATCCTGCCGGGAACTCGTTGCGAAGCTGCCAGGAATAAGCGATAGGTAAGGGAATGGGCACCTACAAGTAGCGGAAGCAAGCCGCTCTTCGGCGAGTGCTCATTTGACATATGTGCCCCCCCACCCGCCCCCGGTGTCCTCGGAGAGATGCTGCACAGCTCAGATTGCTCCAGCATCCTTCGCACAAATTTCATCAACTTCGTCGCCATCGACCCAACAGACAAGCCGAAACCACTCATGCGACAGGACTCCTAGCCGCAACAGCCCCCGGGGGCACCGCAACATGGGAGGCTATGATCCTGACAGCATCACGTCACCACAGCTAACACCCAGTTTGGCTTCCACGACCCCCACAGCACTCCTGGGAGAGGAGCTCCGCACGGGGACGATGTGCTCTGCACTCCTCGAAAAAAAGCTCTGTTCCCCGTAAAACAACTTGCTCAGCCAGGCTCCTCGTAGGAGTGCATGCTTGCACGTCGGCTTGACCCCTGGTGCAGGCAAGTGACTTGCAACAACTTTCAATACACCTCTACTGCAACACACCTTGCTGCTAAGTTATGCCTAGCTGTCTCCACCCCAGTAACATGACCGCATGGGCTCTCCCTTGCCAAGTCGTCCCAACAAACAGTATGACTCCTCCTGCTTTCAACGGATGCATACACGGTGGGGCTCCACTGTATCGACCGATCACGCCACTCAGTAGGTACCTGTATATGTGCACAACAGCTGGTCTCTGTCTCTGTGTCTGGATTTTGGGGGTCCCAATACTGCCCCAGGCAGGGCACACCTCGCCTCGAGATTACCCTTGGCTGCAGTGTCTGCGTCGTGTTCGATGCGCCAGACCTTCGCAGGACAAGGAATTGCGAACAGGGGAATCTCTTGAGCTGGGATCCGGGGCCTCGGCAGCTCCCGAACTTCGGGACTCAGAGCCTGCTTTGGGATCCCATCGCCATTGACAGCATACACGACAGTCGCGACATCCTCTCGAGCAGCCGAGCTAGAACTCTCGGTTGTTCTACTCATGGGCCTAGGCCAGAACTCTACAGCCCAGCTCTCCTCTTGGATTTCGTCAAGAAGCTCAATGCACATTTTCATCGGGATGCAATACAAATCGCATGACGTCGGTGGTGTGGTGGTTTAGATTCTGTTCCCTGACAGGCGAAGAAGTCTCCTGCGGCTTGACCGTCGCTGAGGAGGGCCCTGATCAGGTTCCCGTCACAAAAACACCAAGGGCCGGCGGAGCGGTGCGCGCAGCCTGCAGCCTCTTGCCAGGTTTGCCTGGTGCGCACCGGCTGCTTCGTGCCGAATTGCTTCCAGGACCTGTGAGAACGTCACCATCAAAGATGCTTGGGGGTTTGAAACCACGTGCCGTTCCCACAACTTCCTCAGCCCAGGGCTGCTCGACGTCTGCATCGATTTGGCGGAGCTCGTCAACCTGAGAGCAAGGAACCATGGCGAGTCGATGGCATTGCGAGTCTCACGTCGGCATTAATGTGACACGACGCTGGGCCACATGCCGCTCGTGCCCGCAGCTCCGGACCTCCAAAGGAAGGCCATATCTGCCATATCTGCAACTACTAAGGCCTTGTTGGTGCAGCCAAGGGAAGTACCCATCTCGTCTAGGTCGTAGATGAAGAGCTTCGGGAACATTTTTTGAAGAGCTCGGCCTAGCAAGCGCCACTATGTCCTTCTGCTACTGTATCTGAAGAAACCATTAAACCAAGGATGGGACTAAAGTCGGCAGTACTCGTCAAAAGCCCATCCTGAAGAAGCACCGATCTTTCCATCTGCGCAAGATCCAGACATGTCATGCAGCTGCACAACACCCTGAGAACAGCACTTCGTCGTATATTGCCTGTCGCCTGAGCAGCTTCAGCCACAAGACGGCCGCACATTCTTGTTTCCACACATGATGGGCACCAAGCTCGAAGGGTACGCTGAAATAGCGTGCCACGTTTTCGCCTGCGGGAATGTCACAGTCTAAGATTATGATGCCACCCTCGACACTATACACACCATGAAGGGTGCTGGTGAGGCAAGCACGCAGAGTTCCAGCAAATTCGGGTGAACGGATGAAGTCACCCATTTCACCCACGTCAAACCTGTGACCGAAACGCGCGAGATCTGCAGACACGCACGTCCTACGTTCAGCTGGACTTGCAAAGCCACACTGCCGGTCAAAGTCTGGGACAACTGCCAATCGTGCAGCAAACCTCGAACCTCAACCTTGTAGTTGGCAAGGACCAGCAGCCCTACTCGCATACGAAGGCCACGGAAAGGCTTGCCGCGAGATGCTGTAAGGTGCCGGCGCGCAGCATCCTGCTGGACACTGGCGGTGGGGGTCCGGGAGAAGACACCTGTCAGCAAATCCGGGGGGGGGGGGGGGGGGGAAGGGGCATCTCGGGGAGCTTGTTCCTAAGGACTTGCGAGCGAGCTTCAGAAATCCACGACGGCCAGAGATACAAAAGAGACCCTCGCAAGCACAGCAGCGTGAGAAAACCAGATGCAGGCTGTGAAACATTTCTGGTTCATACACAATTTCATTCAATCTTCCTTTCCGGCGTCCCTCCGTCTCCTTGGCATCAATGAAAGTACCGTCGGTGTGTCGGGCAACCCACGAGCTGATGCCCTGGCCTGCTGACAGCACTGGCCCAACTCATCCACAAATCTCGAGTCGTCTGCGGTTGGTTTCTTGGGAAGCTGAACATCCCTCGCCCATCGTGCATTTAGGGCGTTCCTTTGATTGGAGCTTCGACTTGAAATGCAGGAGCAAAGGGGCCACCTGCAAGCAGCCCGGCTGAGATGGCCTTCTCCATCTCCGCATCTGCCACGAGGTCCGCCAGGCCACCGCCTCAAACCCAGCTCCCTCCCCTCTCACTTCAGTTCCGCAGAGGGGGACAACGAACTCGGGCTGCGAACCGCGGCTCGCGACCCGTACAGTTCCTGGGGCCGATCCTGCTGCAAAGGCTTTTCTCGCGGCGACTGGACACTGTTGCCGGGGCCCCGAACCTGCTGTCGCAGCCTGTACCTGACTCCGGCGGCAACGTATCTCGTGGTTGTCGTGCAGTGGCGCTTCTACTGTCTATCTGGGAGACGGACTTCTGGCATCACGACGACGGCTGCCATGCAGCCATTTCAGCGGGCACGCTTTGGGCCCGGATATTATACATGTATATATATATATATATATATGGAAAGATCGGTAGGCAGGTAAATGGGTAAACAAGTGGTCAGATGTATAGATAGCTTTCTTAATTGCCACTTTCTCATCGATGTTAGAAATACCCAATGCAAGAAGGAAGAGCTGGTTCCACACGTTATAGGTCTGTCGAGGTACTTAGCCACTACATTAAATAGTGTGCTTCAACTGGCTTTCGATCCGTGTCTTCGACGCTCAAGCTGCCCATGTTCATGAAACATATTCCTCCTATGGGCAGGAGCCGAGAGGAAACCGAGGCTCGAGTAGCGCTTGGAAGTGGTGCCTCTGCGACATGCCACATGTCGTGTCGCAGGGCTCAGGCCTCCCATCTGCACTACACTTTCAGTCCCAGCTGCTGCCCTCCCGCAACGCCCAACTAGCCCATGCTTCATTCCTGGGTTGACCCATGAATTGAGTCTAAGAATGGGCCCCTGCTGCAGGCCTGGGCTATCTCGCATGTTGACGAGCCAGCTTTTGGCTTCTTGAAGCTCCAGTTCTTCTGACCAGCGACTGCGCGCTACATTGGGCTACATCTTCACCTCAAAGCCTCATTCACCAGAGAGTGGCGGAAGAGCATAAGGCACAAATACGCGGCAATTCCAAAGTGCCCCAACCTCAGCTAGACTGCAAGACAGCAGAACTCTGTCAATGTCGGTCTGGTTCAAAGACTCCAGGGGAAGTGCTCCACGAGAATCCCAGCCAAATCCGGCAGCTGCCCACTCCAGACGTCTCCGAAATCCTTCAACTGGAAGGGATTCAGCGGAGCCTCTACTTGGGCTTTAAAGAAACCCTGCCTTCAGCACCTGGCAGGAGAGACAGTAGAACACCTGCACTACCAAGCGAGAGCAGCACCAAAAAAAAGCTGCATGACTCACTCTTTCAAAGTCGTGCCAGCGAGGCCACGAGCATTAGCAGCCCGATCACAGCCAAGAAAGCGTGCCACAAGCAGCGGAAGATGACAGTGTCCTACCGCCGAGAACACCAGGGCTGCCGTACGGCCATACGGGATCTATATTATAGCTCTCGAATCCTTGTCCGAGAGCCGAGGATCGAGGAGCAAACGTGCCGGCCACATCGTCCAGGTCACACGCAGCCTACGAAAGGAGCCGCCCCCTTCTGCGCGAAAGCTCTTTGGGGAGCACACTCGATCAACGTGTCTCTTGCCAGTTGCTCACCTTGCTTCTTCCCGGCCCTGTTTGTCGGCCTCAGCAAATAGAATTCGGATCGAAGTATGAGACCCATCCTGCACGATTCGCGGGGACCCCACTCGCTGCAAGCGGCTGGTTCGGGCGACCACGGCTGGTGCATCGGTCGCCGCAGCATCCTGTTAATCGAGACGTTACGAGACGGGGGACAGCGACTAAGCGCTGCGGTATGCTGCGGTTCCCTACACAGCTCTGAGATGCTGGCCGCAAGCTCTTGGAAGGCATCCACAACCGTGGCCCCATCGCCACCCTGTGAGAGCACCCCCTACACTGGCTCGACCTTTATGCATGACCACCCACCTTGAGCTGCAATCCCTTCTGCACCCTGGCAGCTACGTCGCTTTCGCGCATGAAGCGGACCTGCCATCGGAATGCGGCCAAAACGAGCAGCCAAGCTTCTTCGTGGAGCAAAATCCAGGCGGACCCTCTTCAAGGCTGTCCGTGAAGCTTCGAAATCATCCTGTGGAGATGGGATCCGAAACTAACCGGCAAAGTGACTGCTCGGGGACCGCCTCGAAGAACTTGCTGAGTGGCAACAACAAGGCCTGCGACGCAAGGGCCCTCATGCAGGCAGCTGCATTCCGACGACATGTTGGCTTTCAAGGCCCCGATACAGCCTCCGTGTCGTAAGAACTGAAAAGAAAGAGCAGGAAGACAATCGCTGGCACGAAATAAAACACGGCCACCTCCAACTCAAGCAGTGCTCAAAACAAAAGATGGTGGGTACCAGCCGAGAATGGCATCTTGGCACACAAGCGCCTGGTGCGCATCGTGCAGCACGTTGGCGGCCATCAGTTTCCTGACCACATTTCTGTCAACGCCGAAATCACGTCGCAGCATCGACTGCCGCAGCCACGCCGATGCGAGTCAAGGATACTAAGCGGCACAGCAGAAGTTCGGCCAAGCTGCTGCGCACTGCTCGCCAAATCTCCCAGCTTCACCAGGTGGAAAGCTTCGCGGTGCGCCTCGTTGCGAGACGCCGGGTGACATCAGTCTTCCCGCCCTCTCACTCGGCTGGGGCGGCGGGCCAACCAGATGTTGATGATGAAATGGGGGAACGCATTTGCAAAGCACCAGAGCAGCAGACGAAAGAGAGGATCCTCTGTGCAGCTCTGGGAACGGCCCGGGTGGGCCTAACTAGAGTTTTGGGGCCCTACCTGTGATCGTACATTTCGGGCAGCCGGGAAATGTACGATGGAGGGGTTTGGCAATGTACTTCCGGCAGGGGCCCCGGTTGTACATAAACACGGGTTTTCGGTGCCAAATCAAGCTTTTTTTGGTTCAAGTTTCGCAAACCTTCTCAAACCGAACGTCTCGGCCGCTTCTCCCTTCTGCACATCAGCATCGCATGGGCTACCACGTTTTGTGTGTTTTCTCCAGTCTTGTGTTATCTGCCCTGTCTCTTGCTCTTGCTCTTTCTCTCTCCCCCCTCTTGGTCTCTCTCACTCTCTCTGTCTCTCTCACTCTGGCTCTCTTATTGTCTCACTCACTCACTCACTCACTCATTCACTCATTCACTCATTCACTCATGCACTCGTTCGCTCACTCAATTCATTCCCTCTCTCTCTCTCTCTCTCCTTCCGTCCTTCCGCAAGGGTTGAATGGGCGAGTTAAGCCCCCGGGGCTTTAGGCCCGCCCGTTATACGGGTTGAATCTCTCTCTCCTTTCGGAGGGAGGACAAGGACTGCAAACCCGAATCCAACTAAACTTTGCACAGCTTGCGCTCCTTCGGTGGTCCTGCCTTCTCACCCCTCTGTGGAGCAGCTGCTCTTCAGCTGCCGCTGTACATCCCCACTCTGGACTGGCAACCCCTGTTCCGCGATCTGCGCGATCGCATTCCAGAGACATATACATATACGTATATATATATATATATATATACACAAAGGAAGGATCAGCGGCTTCAAATTGTCCACGGAAGCGTTGCCGCCAGATCTGTGCGCAGCCAATCAGAATCGACGCCTGGAGCCACTTGCAGACAACAGTTGCCTCACGACGGCGCGGCACCCTAGAGTCTAGAGTCTAGGGTTTCTGGTTCCAGGGTTTCTGAGTTTAGGGTTTTCTGGTTCCAGGGTTTGGGGTTGAGGGCTTCAGGGTTTCTGGGCATGGGGTTTCCGGGTTTGGCCTCCAACAACTCAACAGCCTGCAATCCCTCTTCTAAGAAGCCTGACAAGGCCGGTACAATTCAGCCGACCCGGCCCCGGGGTACCTTTAAGGGTTCCTTTTAAGGGGGTTCCTTTAAGGGCTCCTTTAAGCCCCCGGCCCTCATCCCTCCAAAACCCTAAACCCCCAACCCTTAAAGCCGTAATTCTAAATTTAAAGCCTTAAACCCAAAGCCCTAAGCCCTCCCTTAAAGGAGCCCTTAAAGGAACCCCCTTAAAAGGAACCCTTAAAGGTACCCCGGGGCCGGGTCGGCTGAATTGTACCGGCCTTGTCAGGCTTCTTAGAAGAGGGATTGCAGGCTGTTGAGTTGTTGGAGGCCAAACCCGGAAACCCCATGCCCAGAAACCCTGAAGCCCTCAACCCCAAACCCTGGAACCAGAAAACCCTAAACTCAGAAACCCTGGAACCAGAAACCCTAGACTCTAGACTCTAGGGTGCCGCGCCGTCGTGAGGCAACTGTTGTCTGCAAGTGGCTCCAGGCGTCGATTCTGATTGGCTGCGCACAGATCTGGCGGCAACGCTTCCGTGGACAATTTGAAGCCGCTGATCCTTCCTCTGTGTGTATATATATATATATATACATATATATACATATATATATATATATATACGTATATGTATATGTCTCTGGAATGCGATCGCGCAGATCGCGGAACAGGGGTTGCCAGTCCAGAGTGGGGATGTACAGCGGCAGCTGAAGAGCAGCTGCTCCACAGAGGGGTGAGAAGGCAGGACCGCCGAAGGAGCAAAAGACGCGCACAAATGATCTCGCTGCCATGGCGTCAAAGACCAACTGGTCAAGTTTAGTTGGGTTCGGGCTTAGATACTCAAGAGAGAGAAAGAGAGAAAGAAAAAAACGTCAAAGAAAACACATCGAGAGAAGATGAGGGAAAGAACAAACAGAAGGGAGACGGTCAGATAGAAAGGGGGGGAGAGAGGGGACAGAAAAAAAAAAGATATTCACGAAAGAGAGAAAGAACAGAAGGAGAGAGAGACTGAAAAAGAGAGACACAATCAAAAGGGAGAGAGAGAGAGAGTGCGCAAGCACGAGAGCGCGAGCGAGCGAAAAAGGGAGAGAACCGGAGAGCCGAAGCGATGATGATGTGCAGCCGGGAGAAGCGGCAGGATGTGGGGAGGTCGCCGCCACCTAATGACCACTTTCGCATGCACATACCAAAACACAACATAACCTCCGGAATAATGTACGACAAAGGGGGGTCATCGTACATTACAGTCAATATGTAAATTAGCAGCCTGGTGTACGGGCACCCTCGTTGTACATTAGTTGGGCGCCCCCCTGGAACGGCTGAAGGGCATGAGAAGACGGGGGGGCGGGGGGGGGCGCCTTGGGCAGGGCCTGTCCTCGGAGGCATGGTTTGATTTGTCAAAGCTGATGAGCAGGTCGTGCTTGAGGAGTTGGTAGTAGATGCGGTGGTTTAACACCATTCGAGTCCTTAGCTTGGAATGCTGCATGATTCGAGGACACCGAACCAGTATTCTCGAATTGGGGGTCCCGCGCCACCATAAGGGACACAGCCATCGCTAGCAGCGGGAAGCAGCGCACATAGGCCTGCAGCCAACGCCAAGAATGAACGCAGCCTGCATCCCAACACATCCGCCTTTGTGTACTCGCAGAAGATGGACAAGTACCATCCGCACCTGATCAAGGGAAGGGACGCTGACACAACCAACCAACCGAGGCACCAGCAAAGGCACGCCACAGCTCCAAGACGCCTCACAGGGTCGCAGTTCATCACGTTCTCGTGGCTGTGCGGCCCAAGCACCTCAGCAAAGAAGAAGAGGTCTTTCCTTCGGGAGTCTCCATTTTCGTCGTATGGCTGAGGTTTGGTGGAAGCATAGGTCGATAAGGAGCACTGCCCTTGGTTGGGAAGGATCAGCAAGGCACTTGCACCAGGATGAACACCAAGGCAAAGAGCTGACGTCCTCAATTGCCCGAAGCGAAGTGTCGAAGAATGGTTGAAATCTCTCGTTTTTTGAGCTCCGGGCCGGCAGATACGCCGGCCTCAACGAAGAGGTCCCATGGCTCCCTGGAGATGACAGCCAAAAAAATCATGTAAAAATCGAGTCGACGTGAACAAAACGCACTGCAAGATCCCTGCTCCAATTCTTTCTTCTCTCTTTCCTGAGGTGGTCTCTGCAACAGCCT